CGTCAGTCCAGCTCGTTCCGCTGGCAAAACTAAGCAAGAATGAGTGTATTTACTCGAGGCGCTTTTATAGCCAATCCGTGGCGTTATTCACGTGCACATAAATATGCAGTAGTGCTAATGATCGATTATTTTGAGTTATTTCATTTTCGCATATCATTAGGAGTATTTAGAATAGCAGTCAACTTTACGCAATGATTTCTTCAATAAAATAATAAACGACAAAAGAAGAAATTGAAAAAATACTAAAGAACGAAAAGAATACCAATTCCGATGGAATCTTGAGGAAAAATCAGCCTAACTTACCATATAAATCAAGTGTTTCTCAATGAACTCTTTTAACTAGGCTTTAAACCATAAACGCCGTCTCGGTCAACAACTCGAAGATTTGCTCTAAAAAACAACCAGTGATATACAAACCCGAATAAAGACAAGCTGATTGATATTTCTAAGGGAATTCGTAGGAAAAGCTGGCTTATTTGAGTGAGCAAATAAATATTTTATGAGTGAAATACTGACATAACTTCTTTCATCGGGTTTATTTACGGCGGGCAAGTTTGGGCAAGTTCATATTGTCGGGTCGTGGCAAGCTAGGTTGATAAATAGCGTGACATGCATAACGCAACACTGTTTACGGCTTGACTGATATCAATCTCGGTCAAACCAGAAGCTAAACTCGAAGCTTTGACGTGCAGAATAATATAAGTAAAGCAATTTGTAGAAAAGCTCGTCTTATGTCGGCGAGTAAGCCAAAACTTTCTGAGTGAAATAAACTCACTATGTTCTGAGCCAATTTAGTCTTGTTTCGATTTCATCCCATAAACAGATTTTTTTGATTTTTCCATTAAAGTTAAGTATTACAAAGTATTTTCAAAAAATGAAATAAAAAGGGGATATCCGACTGCATTTTAGAGCTATGAGAATTACAGACGTTAATTTTCAAGATTTTGCTTATCAAAACATTTGAATGACGTCGTAACAAGGCAACCCAGTATACCCTCTGAGAGCGTCTTGTTAAAGAATATAATCAATAATGCAGAAATCGAGAACATTAGAACGGTTAGCGAAAAACAAATAACCATTTAAACATATTTCTAAACCAATTTATGTCGCTTATTTGGCCATGTACATGGTTCTTGAAATAAATATATTTTATAATCGTCTGTCAAAACGAGTCTCTGTCAGGTCAAAGGTTAGATGGAACCAAACTAATTCAGAGCGAATTTTGGACAATCTTATTCTCGCTCTCTTCGCAAAACTATTACGTCAATTTGACTGTATTTTTCATATAATGTGCTTGGATTATCCTAGATTCTAACAGTGTATTTTATTTTAAGATTTTTTAAATGTTTAGCCTATTACGGCCGAAAATCAAACAGTGCTATTTTTAGTTTTTGGCCTTTTTCTCCTCATCCTCAGGTACGATTGTTCTGAAAGTTTCAGAATCTTATTATCTAGTACTATTGCAGCCTGTGTATAAATTTGGATGGAAAGTCTTGGGCAGAAAAAAAGGTATGACGCCGCTTGAAAATTCGATCCAAAATTTGAAGCATATGAAACATCGCGCTTTAGAAATATTACCATTGAATGGATTGCCTTGAAGTTTTCACATATCTATTTCCAAGTACTGCGGATGAGTCTTGCGAAAAATTAGCATTAAATCTTAAAAACTCATTGAATAAATGTTTTTTTACTAATTGTGGTCGTAAACCTCGAAAATGAGAGTTTTGCTAAAAATCACATTTTCGCCGTTTTCTTCAAAACGGCTCCAAGTTTTTTCTTCAAACTTCCTACATCGATAGGCCAGAGCTTTATCTAGATTTTAGTGAAAAATTCTTACAGCTCGTCCTATCCAAATTTTGGAGAAAACAATTTTTAAAGTGAGGTGTACCTAAAGAACTCACCCCGCTAGAAATAATTAATTCAATATCGGTCAACAACAACGCTTCCCTGCTAGCAGAGCCTATTTTCCTTTTGTTTTGGTTGAGAGAGATTTTCGGCCGTAATACCCTACACAATTAAAAAATCTTAAAATAAAATACACTGTTAGAATCTAGGATAATCCACGCACATTATATGAAAAACATAGTTAAATTGACGTAATAGTTTTGCGAAGGGAGCGAGAATAAAATTGTCCAAAATTCGCTCTAAATTAGTTTGGTTCCACCTTAAGATGGAGAGTATATTAAAACTTAAAAAGATATAACTAGCTAAAAACTAGTGTGAGCTTCGTCGGTGTTTCTAATGAAACAGTAATGATGAAAAGGTAAATTATACACCGTGAAAAGATGAAAAAACTTACTGACGTTTCGGACGCTAGTCCTTCGTCGGAGTAAAAGAGAAAGAAGTGGTAGAAAGGAGTGTATATATGATAGAATAAGACATTAAAACTTAGTGACGTCAGTAATACAACGTTGTTTCTCTGTCTACAAAACCGCATCAGTAGTGTTCGGAAGTTCAGAAATATAGACCTAAAATGTTCCAAAGTACCCCCTACCCCCAAATAGCGGTACATAACAAAAATTAGATGTTAAACGAGCTCCAGCATACCCGCTTATTGGGCAACTGGGGGAAAGTTTAGTTGAAAAGTGAAATTATTCGCGAATGAGGTTAGCAAAATATCCCTTGATTCACTTCCATACACTTCCTTAGACCGCTGAGGGCCCAGTTGTTCAAAGCCCGATTAGTGCTAATCCTGGGTTAACTCTTATTATAATAAGACCTATAGAGTTAATCCTGGATTAGCGCTAATCCAGCTTTGAACAACCCGGCCCTGGTTTCACTGAAATCGAGGATTTGGCAAGGCTACTCGTCTGAGAGTTAAATCACAAGCATAAACTCATTACCAAATTACCACATTGAGTAGCCCGAAAGAGAAAGATGCTACCTCTGTGTAATCAAACTCTCCTGATTCCTAGAAGTGGGCGCGTCAGTTCTTAGAATTCAGTATTTTCGTTGTAATGGTTATTCACTTATTTCGATCAACGTTGTCGGTCCGAGATCAGAAACAAGCCGGGCGATCTGAGAGTAAACGGGATTTTTGTTATGTTTTCTGCTTAAAATACGAAACATCAAAATTTCTAGTTCAAACCTCATGCTTCATATTCCAATCTAAAAGGAAACTACATTATTCGGATGTGTATACTATACTTACTGTTCTGCAGCAAACAGGCAAATGCGGCAAAGACCAAAGCAAAATTAAACATGCTGAGTCTTGTGAGGCAATCGGACTGAAAATGAATAGCTAAGTTTGTAGTGTTTGAACCAAAAGTAGTAGTGTATATAGGTCGATTCTAGCGCATCAAACCAAACTGACTGTAAGCTTAAGCTACGCGCTTAGTCACACCCAGACTTGTTCTCAGAATTTCTTTTTTGGCATCTGTTTGACAACTTTTTGACAAGTTTTCAATCGTCCTCTTTACCGCTAACAAATTAGGTTTCGTTGCTTCACCCTAATGTTTATTATCGTCACATCGATGTAGAAACTTCGCCAATTAAATCAACAACAGAGTGAATCGCTGTTGTCTTATTGGTCAGTGGTAAAGAGCACAATTAAACTTATCTAACATTTGTCAAACAGATGCCAAAAAAGGACTAAAAAACTTTTTGGAATTGTTCACGGTACGTACTTAGCTCACAGGTAGCCCAAGCTTGGTTTCTGTGGTGTCCTGTTATAAGGAAATGTATGGAGATTCATCACAAATATCAATAAAATCATTGAAACGTGAAATTTTACCCGATCATTGAGAAATAGCACTTCTTTCGCTCTGTGTGGTTATTTTTCGAATTTAGCCCGTTTTAAGATTTTTTTCCCCACCAGTAAGAAATTTCAAACTGCTTCCGCCCCGTGCATTCCTAAAGCCACGGGAAAATCTTGACTTTTATTAGTGCTTTAAAAATAATTAAATTGTTTTCGAAACTAATCAAATACAAAATAAATATAAAGTATAAAAACAAAATGTTATCATAGGGTGAAATTATATTCACCAATGACTTATGAGTGAACGCTAGTGACGACATTCAACCCGTGAAGTAAAAAAGTCTTAAACCACTAAGAATGGAACATTGCATGTGAGTCAGAATATTAAAATACAAAATATGCCACATTTTTCTCCATAGAATTTGTGGCATTAGTATGGCATTTACATGTTAGACTATATTATTTCATCTATATTATTAAGTAGAGTGAAGGTGTTTAACCTTTGAAATAGGACGAATTTACAAAGGCATGAACCAAACAAAGTTGCTTTTGTTCTCAATATTCTGTTCCAACAACAGTCCACTATTTTGTGCAAAATAGCTAGAATTAGACAATAATTTTTTGCTTTTGTTTCAAAGAGTTTTGGCGCTCACTCTATATCACACCACTTTGTGTTTATGCGCTATTTTTTAAGACTTTTTCCTTACCTTCTCGCCAAGATATCCGACTGAACCGGTGAAAGGAAGACAAGACTTGATAACTTGTTGTCAACGTTGTTGAAATCACGTGATATCGATGCCGTTTTTCATTGGAGATCATGACTCCGTACGTTGTTTTAAAAAGGCCCGGAGGGGGGGTTAGAGTGCATTCAGTCAAACTGTTGAATAGTGTACGTCACCTAAATTAGATAGGTAAATTACTATTTTAGCTGACGTCACCTAAATTTGAAACTGTGAGTAAACAGCTACTGAGACCAGGGGGAGAAACAATGATACAAATGAATGTCTGTTCACTCATTCTTTTGTAAGACAACCCCCCGGATTAGCATGACCGTTAATTGTCGCGCTTTTACTATTTGAGGTGTCGTCAACTAAATAGTTATCTAAGTTAGATACATTTATCTAACTATTCAACAGTTTGACTAAATGCACTCTACTCTTGGCCGTTTAGGGTAGGGATGTGTCGCTGAGCCCACTGAACCCTGACCCTGTTCCAGAGTAAAATCGCTGAAATTCATACCCTGTTCCAGAGCAAGATCGTTGAAAATCACAACATATTCCGGTATTACGAAAATGGATACCCTGTTCCAGAGAGGAGAGAGCGTGATTTCATATACCCTGTCCCAGAGCGAGCGCGATTTTATATACCCTGTTCCAGAATAGAATCGTTGAAAACCATACCCTGTTTGGCGGCACGTACCCGTATGGCGAATTTAGGGGTGTACCCCCACCCCCCTCCCCCCCCCCGATAAAAAGGTTTAAACCTGCAATTTAATGCTGATTCCAAATATGAAAAGAAAAAGGGGGTGTCCCAAGCTTGTTACCGAGATAATAAGCATTTAATGGTTGTCTACAAGGGAGATTGGAGCAAAAATTGCGCCACAGGTCGCCACAGTAATCAGAAGAAAAAATTAAGATTTATAAGATAATAGTTCTTTGCAGACTCTTTAGCACGAATGATGGCTAGTGTATTATGATCCTACAATAATACGTGGATATTTTTGAGAAAACGACAAAGAAACACATCGATTTGACATATGCTGTCCTTTCAGTAAATCCCTATAACATTATAAAAATCTATTTTTTCATGTGTTTGAAAAATCATCTTTTTCTAAAAAACTGATATAACCTAGATTTTTAAGCCCATAAAAAGTATAGTCCCGTGCAAAATTTGAGGGTTTTGCCCTCTTGAAGTTCAAAACGTGTATGGTAATTCAATAAAATCGGTCAGCCTCCACTACTACTTTTGTAAAAAATAAACAATTGGAATGGCAATAAGAACAAATTGTATAGTAAAATAACAATTATGATGATAAGTTATTTTAATAACAATCTAGTTTATAATGACAAAATTAAAATTGGCTAAAATAATAATTAATTATTCAAAATATTAACTTTTATCTAAATCGGTACACCACAGGCCATAATATGCGCGGGCTCAAAAATATTCCAAAATGGCGGACGACGAAGATGTTTTGAGGCTTGAAGAAAAGATTGCCCAGAAAACACGGGAATTAGAAATTTTAAAAAATGCCTTGAGAGAAAAAGTAAGTCATTGGTCCTTAAATATTGTGACAACATCAGAAATCTTTGCTTTATTTTTAATTTCTTTCATTTTTTTTTTGAGGAGAAGCGTAAAGGCCTTGACCAAGAACGGTTGAAAGACTCTACATACGTCAAAGATAGTCTTCCAAAAAGCGATATTGCACGTTATAGTAGGCAGCTTATCTTACCAGAGATAGGTGTGCAAGGTAAGAAAGCGAGAAATTTGGTATATCAAGAAATATGAAAATTGTGTTTTAAAGTTAATAATTATTTTTGTTTAATTTGTTTAATGTTTAATAATTAGTTTGTGTTGTTAAATTGTCGATAATATCATTTTTAAAGAGTAATGACATTAATAATGTTGCATCTGTTTGCATCTGCACGAATATGGCTGCCATTTTTTTGTCTTTTTAACTCTTGGGAATAGAAAGCTTGCAACCTATCAAGTATCATCAACATCACATTATGGTTGCCATATTTTTTCATATTTTCAGGTCAAAAAAAGCTAAAGAATGCATCTGTACTGATAGTTGGTACCGGGGGACTTGGATGTCCTGCTGCATTGTATCTTGCTGCAGCCGGAGTAGGTAGGATTATATAATGAAGTATTCACAGGAGAATGACTAGAATATTGCACATGGTGGCCAGTGTTTTACCAGCATTTGGAACAGATATTGATATATTCAAAAGGCTTTTATCAACTTATAAAAAGCTAAGGATTAGACTACTTAAGATACTTATTATTATGCAGGCTACTTGTCCGATCATGTGACATGTACTACTTATCCATTCATTAGACATCTACTTCTCAATCACTGTCCACGGTTTCTAGTTGAACTGGCTCATTTACACGACTTTAAGTTGTGAAAGGCTCATTGGCCCTCTTGTTGTCTTGCTTCATATAAGGCTCGTAATTTACCTATTACGCATGTTCTTATACAATTTCGGGGCCCATCCCACACGGCTTACCGCCTCATCTCTCATGTACTTCTCAACCAATGATGTGGCATGTACTACTTACCCAATCATGTGACATATCCATTATCCAACTTTTTGACATCTACCAACCAATGACATGGCATAGTCTTTCAATCTTGTGACATGAACTAGTCAAGCAGTCATGTATTCAATCACATGGTATATACTACTTTTCTAATCATGTGACATGCACTGGTCACCCAATCATGTTGAACATACTACTTAATTCAGTCAGCACATAGCACTGTGGTATCTATTCCTTGTTCAATCATGTGGCACATACTACTTAATTATTCAATCTGCATGTAGTATTTATAAAATCCAATCGTGTGGTGTATAATGCTTGTCCAATTGTGTGGCACATACTACTCTATCCAATCAGCACATAGTAAGTTACTTGATCATGACATTACATTAGCTGTTACACACTCAACTTCCTTGTATTCCAGGTTGTATTGGCTTGGTTGATTATGATGATGTTGATCTTAGTAACCTGCATCGACAAGTTCTTCATTCAGAAGAAAGAGTCAACACTCCAAAGGTTTTGTCTGGGAAGCAAGCGTTGAATAAGTGAGTACTATATCTATTGGTGAAAATTGATCTACTCAGGTTATAGAAATCATAGGGATCCACTGGGTAAAACTGTAAAGCATACTTACTGTAGAGCTTTCAACTCATAATTCATCATATTTCGATCATAATTCATTGAATTATGATCATAATATGATGAATTATGAGTTGAAAGCTCTACAGTAAGGATGCTTTACAGTTTTACCATAGTTATAGAGTACAAACACTAAATGTGTGCCATTAGTTATCACTAATTAAACAAAAGAAAACAATAGAATTAGCATAAAATAACACTATTTAGTGATATTTATGTTGCACACTTTTAGTGGTAGCATTTTACTTGGTCCATCTAAATTTTAATTCAAAATAATAAGTGAGTATCTGTTTGTATTACGATTCTTTTTTGTTTGTTCGTTTGATTGAAAACTTAATGGATTTTGAGTTACCAATGCAGGTTTATATTGCCTCTGGCCAATAACTGGAAATATTTTTTTCCGCCTAAACCTGTATTTGGTGGCTTAAAATCGCAATATCTCATAAGAACTGTGCTAAAGTGACTGAAAACAATGACTATAACATTGGAACAAGTATATAAATCTTTTAATCATTTTTATTTTTTAACTTTTAACTGTTCCTAACTGCTTCTCATGTTATATATTTTTCTGTTTTTTTTCCAGCCTTAACTCAAAAGCAACTGTAAATACCTACGATATCCAGCTAGGCAGCTCAAATGCACTGGAAATTATCTCTAAATATGATGTTGTTGTTGATGCTTCAGACAATGTTGCAACAAGGTATTCTTTGAATAAATATACTTAATATAATGCACACTCCCTGGCATCATGGAGTAGCTTTAAAGAAACAAGAAACGACCAGAGTAAAGAATCTTTTTTAAAGAAGTTGCTCTTGATTTATTGTTTTGCAGGTATCTTCTTAATGATGCTTGTGTAATTTGTAAGAAACCTCTTGTTTCTGGTAGTGCTTTGAGATTTGAAGGACAGGTTAGTCTGACAGTTAGACATTAGTCATCTTTGGAAGTTCCTAGCTTCGTAAGCAGACATCCCCATGGCCATCATGATTTGATAATTGTAGTATAATGGGTTCCCTGTGGTTCCCCAACAATGTATGGGTTCCCTGTGTTAAATGAGTTTGATGTACATACATGTATGTACATACATTGTCATACATGGACTGTATAGCGGCTGCCGGAGGTGCCTTCACATGCTTTCAGTTTGGGTCTGGGGTAGGGTATCATTTTTTGACATTTTGTCTGGGATAGGGTATCATTTTAGTCCGGGATAGGGTTGACGATTTGGTTGTTTTTGTCTGGCAAATAGGCTACGCTTTCTGCTGACCAAACACAATAAAAATGTTAGTAAATATTGATTGCAATCGATTGTAAAACCGTATTTTCCGTCTTTTAGTCTGGGATAGGGTGCATATTTCTTAGTTTTAGTCTGGGGTAGGGTATGTAAAATCAAAATTTTAGGTCTGGGATAGGGTCAGGGTTTTGAGGTCCTGGTGGCACACCCCTGCCCAAGTTGGGGTGGTAGTACCCCCCCGGACATTTTGACCAGTAGTGCTGAACCAGAAACAAGGCATGACTAAGCTAAAAGTAATTTGGCCAGTCATTACGACCAGCAACTGACAGGATGTTATTTTAAGCTCTGTTGAAGCCAAAAATCCAAATCTCAAATTCAGGTTTTATACTCAGGCTTCCTTTGTGTTTCCTTAGCTAACAGTTTACAACCATGAAGATGGACCATGCTATAGGTGTCTGTTCCCCAACCCTCCCCCTCCAGAGACAGTTGGTAACTGTTCAGATAATGGTGTGCTTGGTGCAGGTGAGTCCCAGTCCTTTCGATAACTGCCTGGGAAAAAACTACAAAACCTATGGATTAAACCTTAGTGCAGTTTTCATATGACTGTGAAAAGTTCACGGCACGAACACGGTCATGACACAGCAAAGGATACGCTAGACAAATCACATTGCACGAGAATTTACTCTCCATCCAATCAAATACCCGGAACACGGCATAAACACAGCGCGGACACGGTCACACCAAGATCACAGCACTTTTAGACCAATCATATTGCGCGTGAAAAAAGTCAGCCAATTAAAATTCTAGAAAGTATCACAGTCACGGCACGTCACGCTTATGGCACTGAGCTTTTCACAGTCATACGAAAACTGCACTATTTTGTCTTGATGCAATGTTTTTCCCTTTACATATTTGCTCTCTGAAATGGGAAAATATTAAATCAAGACAAATAAGGTCTTTAGTTAGGCCTATTATTCTTGTACAATTATGTAGGATTTTGATGATAAAGTGCAAAAAATATATCCGTGAAATATTAGTCAAGTGCACGCACTAAAACCATGAACATTGAATAGTACTAATTAGTACTATTTCATACAGAATGCTTTGTTTTCTATCGTTTAATTATCACTATTTAGTGCTAAAAAWTAGTATTTGTTTCACGGATTTAGTGTGAGCACTCTATTACTTACTTACACTATTTTATGCAAATTCTATTGTTTTCTTTTGTTTAACTAGCACTATTTTGAACAATTTAGTAATTAGTGTTTCACAGATATATTGTTTGCGCAGTAGTATTTTAACTTATCTTACATTTTATATAATATCTTTTTATATATTATATATAGAGAGAGTCACTCTATAAAATTAATATACAATATATAAAATAAATATTATATAAGATGTAAGATAAGTTAAAATACTACATGTACATATTGTAAGCTAATGTTTTGTTGATTACTATGTTTATGTAATTTTTTCTAGTGCCTGGAGTTATAGGAACCCTACAAGCTATTGAGGTGATTAAAATCATTTGTGGACTAAAATGTATCCTTGAATATTCCATTTCACTTCTGACCTCCCCAGGTTCCCTTTTCCTTGCTATGTACTAGGAACATTTCTGTAAATAGTACAGTTTTCATATGACTGTGAAAAATTCACGGTCGTGACATGGCAAGGGATACACCAGAGCAATCACATTGCACAAGAATTTACTTTCCATTCAATCAAATACCCAGAACACGGCATAAACACAGCATGGACACAGTCATATCAAGGTCACAGCAATGCAAGACCAATCACATTGCATGTGAAAAAATCAGCCAATTAAAATTCTAGAAAGCATCACGGTCACGGCACCTCACGCTTAGGGCACTGAGCTTTTCACAGTGATACGAAAACTGCTCTATGCAGATTAAGATAGTGACATTGTTGTGGACATCTCTTGAACAATTATAAAAGCATGTGGGATGACTTCTACACTAATCAAATTGATTGAATACATTGTTAATCTCATTTTTTTACACTCAAACTCTGATACCTCTGATCCTTTAAGCTCAAAAATTGGTAATTGTAATGTTACATTCCCTTAATGAAACAAACAGCATCTTTTGCGCAGAAAATGCTAGTATTTGACGCTTTAGAGGGCAGGTTCCTTCAAGTCAAACTGAGAAACAAGAAGATTTCTTGCTGTGTGTGTGGAGAGGAGCCGACTATAAATGAGTTGATAGACTATGAGGAGTTTTGTGGGGCATCAGCCACTGACAAGGTTAGTGTTGTCAAATCATTGGGGAGAAAGCATAGTCAATCATTTGGGTGTGGTCCAACAAAGGGGCCTTTCCTGGTTTTCTGATCGAAAGCTTTTATTCTTGCAGACAAAGTCATTAGACATCATTAAAAGTACAAGCAGAATCACAGCAAAGGTAAAACTAATATCTGCAGTAGGACGTTTACATGATGGTGTCATTTGATCAAGATTTCATACCATGACACCAATTTTGTTTCTTATTCAGATTTGTATTTCATCATAAGAATAGTAAGACAATTGATTGGGGTTCTGTAAATGGAAGTCAACAGTAGCCATCATTCAAACATCCTATTACTATATACAGCTATTTCGAAAAACCCTTGAAGGGGCAATTGTCAAATTATTGATCAGTGATTGCCGATTGCATGACCGAAAGGCACTGTGGGCATGCATCTAAACTTGAGTAATCAAATACAAACAACATTAAATATTTCAACGACTACATCTGTGTTATTGACAAGAATAAACTATGATAAGAAATACAAGTTATTCCAGCTACACTGTATCCCTGCATCTTGGAATGACTTATCTCCTAGCTGTGTTACTTAATTCTGAACATTTATTTTGAATATAACCTTACCGCTGAACTATTGTTGGATGTGCCGCAGGAATATAAAGACATACTAAAGAGTGATACTCCACATATTCTATTAGATGTAAGAGAACCAGTGGAACTGGAAATCTGCTGCCTACCTAATGCATACAGTATCCTTTGACCATGGCAAAGACGATCTTAAAGACATCTATCCCTCCATCCTGACCCCCTTCCCTGGCCCCTACCACCCTGACCCCCCCTCCCTGGCCCCTACCACCACCTCTGTATCTTTCTTTTTCCACATCCTCCCTCCTATCTTTCCATAGCCYTGTTGATTAATATTTACTTGGACAATCCCCTCCTGTCCTCCGCCTACCATGTTATCCTCTATCACCATACTGTACTGTACCTCAAATCGCCTGTATTCGCAGGGCTGTAACCAGAGGGGAGCACAGGGTGCACGTGCACCCCCCCCCCCCCCCCCCAAAACCATAAGGTCCGCTCATCCATCTCCTTTTTTTTGGTTCTGCAAATAATTGCCTGTGCGCCTCCCTGCAAAATCCATAGTTACGCCACTGAGTTGGTAATGAAAACCAATCAATGGTCCGATTTTATTCGATGTGCACCCTCCCTGTAAAAGTTCTGGTTATGGCCCAGATTTTAAGATCACTTACTCTGACGAAGGACTAACGCCGAAACGTCAGTTTCACAAAGCTTCTTACGATGATCCAATTTATCTACAAGTTCCTACGATTATAAGATGGACTCATTAAAATGAGAAAGGTTGAGGGGAGGGGGTTGCTTAAACAAACTCTTTAACTATCATCTAGATGTGCCTCTTCGTCAGCTGTCTGCAGAAGGCACTTTAGATACGCTACACGAGAAGATATTGAGTGATTCACATGACCAGGATCCTATCCAAGGTAGGCCCAACAAAACAAAATCAAGTATTTGTTTGATTTGAATCCACACTGAACCTGAATAACCCTTTTCATTTTAAAAATCATTTTGATATTCAATTAAATTTATTTTATTAAACAAGTTTTTGCTTTGTTTTTGGTGGGAGAAGGGTTAAGAAAATTAGGGGAGAGGGAGAAAATGGCACGTAAAAATTGTATAGGGAAATATTTAAGTGCAAAAAAGAGAAAGATATTTTATTTAAAAATTGGGGGGAATAAGCCTTTTCATAGTTTAAGAATCGATTCCACTGCGCATGCGATTTTATCCCGAATTTCTCACCTTCTTTTGTTCAATTAAGAACAAAAGAAGGTCTAGACAAAAAAAGGTGAGAAATTCGGGATAAAATCGCATGCGCAGTGGAATCGATTCTTAAACTATGAAARGGCTTATTGATCTAAAGATTAAAATCGGGATAATAATAATTTTTTCCCTTGTTTTTGATGTTTTTTTGTTATTGTTGTTCTCAATAATCATCATATTTTTTTGTTCCTGATTATTTAGTCTTTGTTGTATGCAAACAAGGCAACGATTCTCAGAAAGCTGTCAAAGTATTACAGAAAAGCATTGAGACTCAGACTCCTGAAGAAACAAGCCCTTCAACTAGTATTACTAAAGATTCCAATACTCAACATACAGGACATAAAAAGGTGGATTTAAATCAAAAAATAAAAGTTAAGGATATTAAAGGGGGACTTTTAGCCTGGGCCAAGCAGGTTGATAATGACTTCCCAGTGTACTGAGGCTGGCTGTAATAAGTCTGTGACATCATACACTCAACATCGAACATCGTTCCATACATTTCTTTGTATATAAATCCTTAATTTATTTATTCCTATGAAGCCCATAGGGTGGCTAATGTGCTTATTTCACATTACTTGTGACTATAATTTATATTTTGGGGTGTTTGGGTATTTCTTTCTCCCTTTACTACCGATATTTTGATCATAAACTACAAAGAAATGTATGGAGTGATGTTCGACTCCAAAAAATAATCGTAAAAATATCATACTTTCGTCYTGAATATCGAGAAAACACTTCATACAGTGATTATTGGACCTTTAAAGAGTATTCTTAGGAAGTTTCAGCTGAATCCAAGTTTGAGTGATTTTCGTCAGAGTAGCACTTTAAAACTTTATAGAATAACGTTATGTCAATAATGGATAATGAAACCAATGGAATAGACATCATAGGGAACTCGTAAAGCGTTGAGCCCCAGATGGGAATCAAACCATCTGTATACTAGTCCCATTTTCTAATCACTAAGCTACTGGAGACTCTATGATGGGCATGGGTTATCTGTAGGTTTTGACATACGAATGGCATCAAGCAGTCTGGCTTAACTGCATAGTATTAATACAGACGGTGGTTGGTTTGATTCTCATCTGCGACTCAGATTTTTTTTGAATTCTATGTCTATATTTCCATTAGTTTCATTATTGATTGAAACTTTTTAGTATAATCTTGGACTTCAATATATAGAGTTTCTCGCACTGCGATTAGTCGAGCAACCAGTGATTCTGAGACGAGAATTACTGCTCAAGTGGGGATTATGAGGTTTCCCAAAGTTTGCCAGAGCTAGGAAGTAATAATAAAACGTTTTTTTATCCTGAATTTCGACTTTCTTTGATATTCAAGTTAAAGATTTTATAAAACAAGTATTTGCCATAATTTATTAGATGGCAGGAACAATACAATAATTTTACATGAGAAAGAATTCAATTCCCAAGGAGCAAAGGGAATTGTTCCCCATCTAGCCGCAGGCAGCCCAAGCTATATTATGAGCGTGAGCACATGGTGCAAAACATGCATCTATAATAAGTATTGTTTATTAACTATCCATTTTCTGTCATGCATAGTTTACAAGGTGAAACTCTTCATTTGTTGTTTATTTTATTAATTTGAATGCATCTTTTTATAATTTCTTCATAATAATAAGCCCCAAGTGATCGATAGTATAATAGATCAGAAATCTAGAGAAGAGATGTAGTGAATAAGAAAGGGGCTTCACTATTTATTTGTCCTGTGGATACGATAACACTAGGGTTGGAGTTGTTCTTGTATGCAGAAACAAAACTAAAAATACAGACACAGTACCAAAATACTACGAGTATGATACATAAAAACATGTAAGTATTGTGCCACTACGTTTATTTCTGTACCCCTTCCCCTACCCCTACCCCAACCACTATCACCCTTAATTTACAATCTTGAAAATGGGGTGCTGATCGAAAGCCCTGGGGTACAGAATAAAAAATGCAATGGTCCAATTAGATACAGTGACAAAGGGAAAGACGAATAAAAGCTTAGCAGCCATCGGAGCTGTGTCATTCAAGTAAGAATTGTGAAGTAGTTTTGAGGAGAGAAAGGCTTTAAACTTTCACAGTTCATTCATCTGTCGTCTCTGATTATACAGTATGTCCAGAATTATTATTTAAAGAAGTCTAGTTTTGAAGCTGTTTTGTCAGCTTGGTGAGGAGGAGTTTGTAGTTGGTCTATTGCCCGATACTCTTCTGTAAGCATCTATTAAAACAAAAGAATGCATTGTTAGCAGATCAGTTCCTTGCTAGCAGTAAGGACTATCAATCGAGAAAGAAAGTCTCTGCTTGCAGGGAAGGAGATCAGGAGTAAAACAGCTCTTACTTTACACTTTACAATTTATACTCGATCAAACCCATCCTCAAACATATCAAATAGTTTCTGAAAACATAATATTAAATTGCCTTGATGATGTTATTTCACTTTTACAACAAATACGATAGAAAAAATAGTAGAATTTTATTTTGATGAATAACACGAGTGCAATCCCGAGTCTTATGAAACTTGGTAACTTTATGATTAGGTAAGTAATACTTACTTGGTCCGGATGCTGGTCCCATTGGAGGAGGTCCAGGGCTCTGACTAGCTAGGGGTGGCCTTGGGGGTCCCATAGGTGATCCCATGGGGGGTCCCCTAGGTGGTCCATAAGGTGGTCTCATAGGTGAGCCCATGGGTGGTGGTCTCATAGGAGGTCCATATGGAGGTCTCATTGGTGGTCTCATCATAGGTGAATTGCTCATAGGGGGACCAGATGGGTGAGGAACAAAAGGTGGTGTTCCATCTTTGGGTCGGCTGTCATAGTTATCTCGTAATGAAGCCCTATCGTTATCCAAAGAGTTCTGATACAAACAAAAATACAAAAGTCATTCTTAGAGAAAATGGAAAAGCATTATCAGTGACTGTCAGAATTGTCCCATAGAATACTCCGAATAGCGTCCTTTTTTCAACAGAATAGGATCCTCATTAGCAAACATGTTAGTGACTCCCTCCACTCAAGCATTGACAAAAATAGAAAGTGTGCGCGCTTGCAGTGTGCTCTCATGATGTGCTTAATCCCAACCATCAGAATGCGACATTTATAATGGTTATTTCAAAACTGTGATTGGATGGCATGTGATTTTCCACATGTCGATTGGTTCTATTAGTGTCTTGGTTTCTCAAGTATACAAACTGCTTTAAATATCACTGGTACAGTAGCTCATTATTCCATTACTGAAAATGCGACAAACTAAAATAATAAGACCCTTGTAAAGGGGCACTGCATACAACCTACTAGAAGTATACTTCCTCCAATAGTCCAATCTCGACTACAAATCTGAATCTTTCCTAATTTGGCCTGTCTAGGATCTCCAGGGGTACTGCTTGAGATAGGTGGTTTACTAAAGCTTGATGGGCTTTCTGTGTGATTTCTAGGTCCATTAGGAGGAGTAACTGATCGACGTCGACTATCACGTAAATCGTTGGTGCCATAACCACGGCTGTCCCTGCGGTCCCGCTCATCTCGTTCATCACGATCGGGTGTGTGCGTCCCTGAATCTCTTCGGCCCTAACATGAAAAAACAAATACTAAGATCTTGTAACCCTTCTAAAAACACAATTTGAACACAATCTGGAAACCAGTTACACTGAAAATCGAACAACAATGACAACCCAAGCTTTAATCAGTTGGTGGCTCCCATGAGGTGGGGTGATGGGGTTGTAATAATATGTGATACTATCAATGATGTAATTACAGAAAGTGATGGTGGAGCTACATTACATGCAGGTGGAGGGGGAGTGGGGTGGTGATGATATGTGATATTATCAATGATATACTTACAGAAGGTGGTGGTGGTGGAGGCCCATTACGTCCAGGTGGTGGAGTACCCATGTATGCTTGAGGAGGTGGAGGTGGTGGGCCAAATCTTCCAGGGGGTGGCGGAGGACCATAGCCCATGGGCATCATGGGTGGAGGACCTAGCAAGGAAGTGTTGTATATCATATTAGAAGAGATCTTTAAAATAGTCTCGTTTTCAAATTATAATTTTGACCTGTTAGTGTAGTCTGATTAACTTACCATACATGGGATGGTGCATTGGGGGTGGCATCGGGACAGGGCTATGGTGCTCTGGTACACGAGGAGCTGCTGGATGCCTACAGATATAATAACCTAAAGATGTTAGCTGCATTATTTTTGATGAAGCTTAAATCCAGGCGATCATCCTGGATCATTGGATGGGTAGAGGGTGTTAAATTTGAGAAATTTTGACAAATACTTACACTGGTGGTGGGGGACCTCGTATCGGTGAGTCAGCTCGAACACCATCAGCTGTGGATGAATACATGAATGATGTAAAAAGCATTTGAATATGGGTATGAAAAAAGGAGTAAATTTCTACTTGCACTGTAATCCCATATTAAGTTCCATATAATTATATATTTTTCATTTTATGTCACCTAGCGCACGGAGACGTCAGTTTAGTGCGCTATATAACAACTTATTATTATTATTATTAAATTCCAAATGATAGGTGTGTCTTACAGTGACCATGACCATGACGTCCTCCCCCCCCCCCCCTCACACTTCTAGCTTCGAGCTATGCATTTTTTTACAGCTCGAAAGTATAAACCTGGAAGATAAAACTTGGTATGTTCATTTCTTACCACTGTCTGAAGATTTCCCACTCGCAGAGGAACCAGGCCTATTCTTCTCCTTCTCCAGAGCGTACATCCTATCATGAAAAAAATATGGCCAAGGTTACAACAAAATAGCAACTCCTGAGAAGCAGATTCAGGTGTCCTTTTGCCTTAGAACTACGCCGTCTGGGCCGTCTGGGCCACAAAATATGAAAGCTTTTTACATAAAAGTAAAATCATGTCTAAAAACCTTCTTCTTAGGGCATCTCTTTCACGTTTGACCTCTTCTAGTTCTCTTTCTACTGTTCTGTACTTTAGCTGTGAATAAATAACACATGTGAATAATAAATAACAGGACTTCATCAAAGATGAGCATAAAATTTTGTTGTCCGACCCATTTAACAGTCATGAAGTTTTTTCTTTTTTCTATCCCCCCCCTGATAAAATCAATCTTACCCAGTTATTATGAGCTCGTTCTTCTACGGCTGCCACCTAAAAAATAATAATGGCAATGTTACGATTATATAACAATATATGAAGAAAACCATAACATGCACAATTCATTCACCCACAGAAGTTGTTTAGTGTCACAAGAATTACTCTTAAGTCTTCAGGGATTCAAAGAAACGGCTTAAAAGAAGTGACTTTGGACTGGTTGAAGCGAATGATGTTTGAATTGTGTATAAGCCCTTCCCATGAGAATAAAATGAAGAAATATGTATCTAACTGTCACATTGGTTGAGGCCCTGTTACATGAGGCAATTTTTCATTTGCAATACCATTGCATTGCAAGCTGAAGAAGCATGTAACATACCATCTGTTCAACTTGCAATGCAAAGTGGCAAGTTGCATTTGCAGAGAATGTTGCACAAGCTTCTCCTTTTTGCAACGTTGCAAAACAAGTTGCAGCATGTAACATCTTTCCTGCAATCCTGCAATGCAATTACAATGCAAATGCTCGTAAAAGTTGTCAAACGCAGTGTCCTTCATTCCATACCTGATGTCCAACATTACCCTTCACTCGCTGGATCTCATCATTGATATCAGCATAAAGCTTCCTAAAAGTAAAAAAGAAAACAAAAAGGAATCAATATGACAAGGTAAGTTATTATAGACTTTTTACCAGCCTTGCATGACATTTTTAAAGATTGGCTTTACTACTAAAAAGGAGTTTATATTTAAATTTTTAACGTTGATTTTAGCAAAATAAATAAATTATGAAGTTTCTTAGAGATTGCACATAAACTAGAGCATATATATTCTGTATTGAAATTGCACTGATGGCTATAGCTATGATAAAAAGCTCCAAGACTTTTTTGGCAATACCACAGATCATATAAACATAGAGGAAATTTTATTGTGTGAAATTTCTGAATTTTTTCTTCAATGAATGCGGCATGGTAATGGTGTGGAATAGGTGATATCCGTTACCCAAATCACAATGCAGGAGCATAAAAATATTTATCCAATGAGAACTCCTTGACACAAGGCTATGATGGTCACTACATGTCATGTCTGCACAGCAAGTCATTGATAGTCATACCAAATTTGCTTTATCAGGAAGGGATGGGGGGTGGGGGGAGTACCGGGAGGGAGATATAATACCATGGCACTGATATTTTAAAGTTACATACTTATACGTATTGAGGTCTTGAGAATCAGCAGTTGCCTTGGATAACTCAGTCTTCAGCTTGTTCTCTGTAGCTTCCCTTGCTGACTCCTCTGCAGTCAGTTTCCTATGTAATTCGCTTTCTGTGTCTTTGAAGTATTTCCTAAGGGCAGTTAGTTCAATGTCTTTCTCGCGGAAGTCGAGGCGAGCCTTTTCTTCATTTAGCTTGGCTTCAGATAGATTATGCTCAAGATCTTGGATTTTCTCTGGAAAGCCATAAAAATCAATATCAATAGCGGGACTTATATTATTGCAGTTATAGAAATTTGATTTTATCTGCACAACAACCAAAACTCCATACCACAACACACCATGCCACAATAGGCCACACCACACCATCCTCACCTGCTACATACAGCCACATTACCATATGACACCATATCTTAGTCTACAATTCCACACCACACCACACTGTGTTTGACTACATCAAGCTACAATGTACATCATATCACACCACCCTACAACCCATGTCTACTCATATATAATTCCATAACACTACAGCCAACAGTTACTAGAACAATGCATAATACTGCACCACACTGCTTCCCCTACCTCACAACACAGCTGTACTGTATAACTCTACATCACACTGCACCAAAGTAAACCTCTATTGCTATGTTAACTCACCTTCTAATGCTTCTTTCACGGTTTTGGTTTCGACCAGCTCAGTTTTGTATTTCATGTTCTCTTCTTTTATGATCTTGGCTTCTGTCTTTGACTGTTTAGAAAGACAAAAATAATCTATTGTATAACCCACTTGCATAAAATCAGCTGCAAAATAACGAGGTGCTAGTAATAAAAAGAACATCAAATACCTTAGAGGCATCCAGCATTGCTTGAAGTCTCTCAGAGCGTACTTTATCCTCTACAAAAAAAAAAAAAAAACAAACAACATTTTACTCAATAATATATGTTAGGATTTGTGTAAGGGTTACTCAATAATATATAATTATTAGGATTTGTGTAAGGGAGGAAAACTGGAGAAAAACAAATATTGAATCCCTGAAGGGAGAAACTCATGCAATGCCAAGTCCAGGAATGGAACCAGGGGCGATACGTGAGCGTACTACCACTACGTCACCCTTGATTCCCAATGTTACTGCAAATAAACAAGATTTCATAAAATTTCTTACTCTCTTCTTCTGATAATGGCACGCCTTCATCATCTTCCTCGTTCTCATCTCCTTTAATCTGCAGAAGGCAGTCCTGAAGGACCTCAACTTCATTACATTTAAACTCGTATTGTTCCTGCATCTGGCTGCTCCTCAAAGCCTGGTCATCAAGGCTCTGCTGTAACTTATGATACTTCTCGCTCCATGCATTGATATCATCTTCAAATTTGGCTTTTTCCTGTTCTTGGCTGTCAATTCTGTCTTTTAGTCCCTCAATTTCTTCATTCATTAGGCCCTTAGTCTCCTCAAACTCATTAGCTTGTTTTTGTAGAAGCTGGATTTCGTAGTCCTTGTTTTGAATCTCTCTTTTGTATTCTTCAGCTACTTGTTGCATGCGTTCTATCTCTTCATCTTTTTGTTCAATCTCTTCGCTGACAGCTTTGAGCTCTTGCTTTTTGACATTAATCATTTCCTGTAAATGCTGGAGTTCGTTCTGTAAGGTAATAAGATGACAATCAACTTCAAACCAGAATAAAAGGTTTTACAGAGTATTATTCTATGACAAGAGTTCAAAAAGGGAAAGGAAAGGAAGAGAAATGGAAGGGCAAAGAAAAAGCTAATGAAAAAGAATGAAAATGACCTGAGAAAATGGGAAAGAAAAGAAAATAAGATAATGGAACAGAAAAAAGGAAGGAAAAATGGGAGACCGAGGAAATGGGAAGGAAAGCTAATGAGAAGGAATAGTAAAGAAAATGAAGGGAGAACATGACAAAGAAAAGAATGAGATAGAAAGGTAAAATATGAAACAAGTTTAAAAAGGGAAGGGAAAAGATAAAGAGAAAATAAGGGGAATGGAAATGGAAAGGAAACCCTAATGGAAAAGAATAGTCAAGAAAATGAAAGGAGAAAAACTGAAAGAAAAGAATTTAGGGAAAGGGAATGAGTAAGAAACAAAAAACATGAGAAGACATTTAATAGGAAAGACAAATGGTAATCTAAGGAAAATAGAAAGGGAAGCTAATGGTAAAGAAGGGAAGGTTGTTGAAAATGATGGATGGGAATTCATTGGGAATTCAAGGAAATTCCCAACAAATTCCCAATTTGGGAATCCGGGTTTTTTTCCTGTGCTTCTCACCTCTGTCTGTTTTATTTTCATCATGGTTTGTTCCAGACTCTTTCTTGCAGTATTAGCTGCCTCATCAGAGTGGTGTTTCTGTCAATCAACAAAATGATACAAGATATTGATTATCACAGTGTTTCACTTATGCGTTCTTATCCAAAAATAAGAATGTATCATGATATCTTGGGGGATGCAGATTTTTTTCAATTGATCAATTTAAAACCCCACAATGCACATGCAGATCACGTTACTATTTGGATCACATGACCATGAGGTTGACATTGCTTTATCTAGAGAAGCTCTTTGGGGAAAAACTAGCGTCTTCGAGGTGTAGAGTTGCTAGTAACTTTTACTAAACCTTGTCAATTTTATCAACCCTGAAACAACCTCAGGCTGATCTAAGTCAGGGCATGGCTAACTCACAGATTGAACCCTGAAACAACCTCTGGGCTGATCTAAGTCAGGGCATGGCTAACTCACAGATTG